GCCTTTGTAATTTTACTCATGAAAAACCACTTATTTTTGTTTTACAAATTGATACAATTTAAGTAATGTTTGAGAAGTACAAAGATATATAGAATAAATGATGGCAACAACTGACACTTATAACTTTGTGAATCTTATGAACTGCTTGCTGTCAGTTATACCGCAATTTGTTTAATACTTATTTTTTTTAAATCTTACAAATAGTCAACTAATATGCTTAGCTCAGTATGAAAGAGATTGTCTTCATAGAGGCTGTTTTCCTTTGAGTGCCGAAACTTACTATACAACACGATTGGCTTAAATAACTAGCGCCAATTTTTCATCCAATCAGAAGTAAAACCAAAACCAATCGTGACGCGTTCGCACCGTTTTCCCGCGCTTTGCGTCAGCTACATGTAATTTATTCGAGTTTTGACTGGTTCACTGTATTGTCTGTTTCCTTTGTGATTGGCTACTTTGATTTTGGTTTTACGACACTCGATTGAAAACCACCCCAATGGAGCGAATAATCAAACAAACGTTATATTTACGGTTATTTCTTGATTTTATAAGTACCATATGTTAAGTTTTAAGAGAGTCATACGTTCACATATAGAGGCATGCCTAAATTAATCACAAAAAAGTGAAATCCACCTACTGGAGTTTCAGGCTGCTTTTTATTGAAGCTGAGCGATGTTTCAGTATTGACACGCAATTGTACTTTGCTGCTTTACTTTGAAAGCAAAAGTAGTGAAAGTTTAAGAACACGTATGATAAATGGTCTTCGACCATTGCGGATCGCGCATTTGACTCAAGCATTTCATTAATAAATCTCTTTTAACCTTTTCGAAAAGTCAAAACCTTTTTTGAACTTAATTTTTACAAAATGATCTTTGAACAAAGCATATACATTTACAATCTTTTCTTAGTTCTATAGTGTGCCCGAGTTAAAAGAAAATTTTCTGTTCAGCTTATATTACAGTTACAATAGTAAACTGAAAATTGGAGCAAAACAGTTAAGACAATACAACCTAGATACTATTTCACGGGTTAAGTAAATCGCTGTATATTTAACGAAACATAAACTAGATTATAAGAAAAATTGCCTTTACGTTAACATGACCCATACGGTCTACGCTTAGGGAAGGATTCAGGCAGTCTTTACCGCGTAACACAACTTGTCTCTTTCGACCTTCCCTCATGAACACTTCACAGAAGTTAGTTTTAATCTTGGTCAGGGGAAAAATGTTCCTTAATACGGGGAAACTCTACAGCTTCTTTTGCTTTTGAGTAGAAATGGTTCACTATAGAACGGCTGACTTTTACGTCCATTGGCATACACAATATAAGCTAGAAGCCAAAAGCGGTTGCGTCTCTCTGAATCCACTGTGGACAGCTTGTAGACTGGAGAGCCAGTCAGAGGGTTGTGGTACACAGAGTCCAGGTCAACCGAGAAGTATTGGTCCTGTCTTTGATAATTCTATAGGAAGAAAAATGAAAGAACGATTAACTATAAGCAAACAAGAACTACCAAGCAAACAAACAATCAAGCTTGTAGGCACGAGGTAGGTTGGTGGGTGGGTGAGCACGCAGTCAGATGAGCTAAAAAGCACTAGAAGACAGCACAGTACTGGCTACATATGCCCAACTGACAGTCGAGCAATCTTTACTAGAAAGATAATCTGCGATCAAACAAGATGGAGGTACTAAGAGTGAATGCGATACCACTACAAATTACATTGTAGGATGATTCTAAAATCTAGATGACTTAATTAAGTGTCCTCAGTTCTATCTTAAAAATTTTAAGTTGCGATTTATTCTGCCATTGCCCTGATGGATTTACGGCCTTATGCGCCACTTAGGAACGAACAGAATCATGTATGTATGTGCACGTACTTAAGGATTTACACCACGCGCACCGTTTGTACATGTACGTTAAGTAATGAAAAAAAGAAATACTTACATCAGAATACATGAGGTTTTCCATCTTGAGCTTGAGTGGAACCCTTCCGTTGTTATCGCCGCAGAGTACAGCAGCCTTTGGCAGCCTCTCCACATACACCTCTACTTTAGATATAGGGGCATCGGTCGCGACTCTCAAGTTTATTGTAGCGCCATGTACACGCTGTTTCGATTTCTTGTTCTTTCGGCATTGCACTTTCTCGTAGCACTTTTGAACGTTAAAAAACACTACTTCCTCCGTGATGCTTGGCATTATGCGTTGGAGTGGCGGCGGCATTTCAGCGTAACGCGGAGGCTGTGAACACGCGGCCCAGTTCAAGAAGCCATTGGTTGGTAAGTCGCTGTATCTATCACAGTCTTTAGACTTGGGAAGCTGGAATGGCTTGATGTCCCTGAAGGCGTCCAGGTCGCAATCTATTAATAAAAAAATAAAAAGGTTCGGTTATGTTATTCATTTGATAAGAATGAAAAATAATTCCCAATTAAAGCTTACACAGCAATTGGTTCACAACTCAGTAAACGAGGTCACTACATCCAGAAACTTTTATGGCTTTTTGCTATGACTTAATGGAACTAAGAGATTTACACATTGAATTCAAAAGGAAATCAGTAGGGGAAGCACGAAAGCACCTGGAAGACGATGCACATATCACCACATCACTCAGTTGTGTATCCCCTTAAAAAGACAGAAAGAGAGGGGGCTGGAATGAACCTCTGGGACTAACCTCGCCAATCGAGATGATTTCCAAGTAAAGGTTTCCTTATATCAGACATAGAGCGCAACTTCTGAGAAACCAGCATCCCGGAGACAGGTTAACGCTTAAATGATACCGTGTGCAAAGGGTATGTCTACAAACACTGATCCTGTCTCTCTTGCAACCAATATGGACTTTAATGCTAATAAAAGAGATCAACAGGAAGTCCAAAGAAACTCGTTTTCATGTTTGGTTGGGTTTGACCCGAACCACTTGCTGACTGCGCAGGTTTTTAGTGTCGATTTCATCGTCCATATTTTCCACTTTACTAAGAAAAAGACCTGAACCTCCTAAAAAGTGCGTGAAATAAAGTTACATGGCTGGTATAAACGCTAACATGAACAGCAAATGATGATGCGGGTTCTGTTGTTTTGTTGAACGCGGAAAGGAAGTCGATTTGACAGGAAACTAAGTCACGTTAGTAATTTCGCATTTCCGGCGAGTACAATGAGGTATACCACAGGTAAAGGGTGAAGAACTACAGATTTTTCGAATTTACTAATACAAAAACCTGAATCTCCACAAATGTACCACGAAAATAAAGTCATATGGCTCAGTGGTCTAAACGTAAATGTGAAGAGCAAATAATGTGAGAAATTATGTCATTGTTGTGTCAGTTTGTTTTGCTTCAAAGCGGACAGGAAGTCGATTTGACAGGATATCAAGTCACGTTAGCAATTTCGCATTTCCGGCGAGTACAATGAGGTTAACCACAGATAAAATATGCTGGAACAAGTATCACAGGTCGTGAATATCAAGTCAGAAAAATTAACCGTGGTAAACTGAAATAATACCGAAGAATAAACAAACAAAGTCTTGATAGTGAATATTGAAATTTATACCGATTGCCAAAATATGAGCAAGTAAAGACGATCGAAAAACTCACTTATTTTCTTAGGTGCCATGAAGTTAAGTAAAGTTTCACCGTTACATGTATTGAACAAAGTAGAACGAGGTACCCTGCCACGGTTCTCGATCAAGTTCCATTACCTAGTGTGGTCTGTACGAAATATAAAATATAAAACCTCATCAACCATAAGAGTTCTAGCTTTGATCTTCTCAGCACAAAAGCGCGGGTCGTTGTTCTGCATGTGCTGCGAGAAACTCTAAGAGATATTGCAGCACAAGTTTATTTAGTCGGGGCACTTTCGAGCTTAACTAAATTTCGCACTTTTCAAAGATAAAGTAAATCAGCCCAAAAGCAATGTTTTGCCGAGATCCCGTGTTTGAGAAAAATAAACACACATGTTCAAAGTAGTAGCAAGAGCCTGAACGTTTTAAAGATACCAGACCGCAAGTTTCTGCAATCCATGCCAAGCTGGTTAATAAACGTGTAAAAAAAATACAACCTGACCTGTAGTGTTCATTAAGTGTTCGACTTGCGATACATGAGCAACTCGATTCTTGGTTTCCCGCATCTCCCAGCTGCTAAGCAAGTTTATAAACACAAGGAGTGAATGTGCCTGCTGCAACCTCACAACCTCGGTACTCGGTAAAACCGGAACTATTTTATCGTTCGCTTTTCCCTAGAAAACGATATATTTAGACTCACTACAAAATCTAACACAATATTTACACGAGTAGGAAATAATTAGCAGTAATATCTTTTCCTGTTACCGCGGCCAAAATATGGAGTTTTTGGAGAAATAAAAAAATTCTGGAGTTCTGGAGACCGAGAAAGCTTGATAGCAACATCTTCTCCTGGTTTGTCCTGAAAATGAGGCTAACATTGTATAACGGTCTGAATAAAATCTGTGAATACATAAAAGTTGGCTGCAAATACCTCCATTATTGGTATGATCCTTCATTTTTCGTGCTTCCAAACAAGCACGACATGTGCAAGTGAGTTTTAAGAGTGAAGTAAAGGTTGCTAACGCACGACTGCTGGTTGCCCAGCGAACCGAGAGAATGTCTTCCTGTATTGATCTCTCAAGCGCGGCAGGTCAACATGAATAAAATATGATCTTTAAAGGAATCTTTTAACTCGATTCTCAAAATCTGGGTTATTTAGGCTTTTTCTTTTGTATAAAGAAATAAACTGCACGCATTTTCGCTTTCTTTATTAGTAAAACCCAATTTTCGTGTTTGAGAAATATTCTACCAGTCGAGCTGTTGCGTGACTGTTACTGCAATCACTGCTGTCACGTGCATTAGATATACCGCCGGTAAATTGTCTTTTGCTTTTCATCGTGATTTTTTTCAGGACACATTAATATCACACACGGACACGTGGGAAAAACATTATCCAGGGCGGGCGCGTCTCCACATGTGTGCATGGAGCAGATTTTGTAATGTGACAGGAAGTTGAAAATCTGACTTGGTGCAAGTGTAGGTCAGCGAACGAGGAACAAGTGGACGCCGATCATTCACAGTCATTGAGATAGGTTTGGAAATGCTTACAAGAGTCCTTAGAAATCACCAACATGCCACCCAAACCAAAGAATTTTCTCAAACCGTTCAAACCCAACCCAGTCTTGAATGCTGAAACCTTTTAGTTTGTTAGTTGAGTCTTGTGACCAGAAAAAAAAATAAGGAAAAACTACATTAGTGAAAGAGCGAATTGTGAGCTATCAGGCAAAATATAAACAAATTGAAACCGGAGTGCTTTAATTTGTGGGGCCAATACAGCAGCCAGTTGTCGAGAGATAGAGTAATGAGTTCCTGCCTCGTAAAAAAAGTCAACTTCCTTCAGCAACTGAGCCAAACAAGTGTTTCAGTATTGGAGGTAACGATACCCAGCAGAGAGAGCGAAAGAGGACTTCCTACCCTGTCATCTTTTCAGCAAAATGTTATGTTTTATAACCACAACTAGAGATCTTGCTACTGTAATTTAGTGTTAAAATACAAAAATATGAACCACAGAAAGGACTTGGCGACAACACTTAACTGTCATGAAAAGTCTGAAAACTGACTTGGTTGTCGTGAGAAGGAGAAGTATTTTCTTTCAGTTCACTTTGAAATCTTGTCATTTAGTTTGTTTAAAAGAGGACTCCGCGACTTATGTTACGAAAAAAAAAATCACTAAATCGGAAAAAGCGGTCGAGAACCAATGGTGGACAACGTTTAGCTAAATGCAGCAGCAAAAATGGCACTCAATTGTCTCCATTAAATTACTCTGTCTTTCCTCATCATGTCAGCTCCTTTTTCATTTAAATTTCAGAATAACATTGAAGATCTTTGCAGCTTTAAGGTTTCCTCTACCCTTTGATATGAATTCGCCCAGCTTTCATCAGTTTTTCTAACTTTCCTACCGTAAGATTTTTCCGAGATAGCGGTCTTAGTCAAGATTGATGTTTCGTTTTTCTATTTCTTCAATTATGACGGGACAATGCAATGTTTCCAACAATTCCACCGAGTGCCAACACTTCTACGGTTTGTAGAACTGCCATGCATTGTTTTCAAATTGATTTCTTCCTAAGACTTTACCGTAACAAGAGAGCTGAGCTGAAACGAAATATGAAAGACTAGTTCGCGCCCATTCGTTGAATGTTTCGCTTTTAGTTTCATGTAACGACAACGAAACTTATCCAGCGTCTTGCATCAAACTGGGTCTGTGCACACTAATTAAGCCACGTGATTCGAATGCGGAGTGTCTATAACAAGCAAAATTTTCTCGGAAAAACCAGCAGAAAACCAGGGAATAGAAAAACACACCCAGCGGACATGACGCAACCAAACAGGATGCTTTGTACACGGAATAATAACTGCGAAGTAAACAAAAATCCTGGGTAAAATTATCGCCCCTTTAAACCAGAATAATCATTTAAATTTGACCAACTTTATGAGGAGAAAATAGTGGTTACTTATTTCTTGGGGTAGATGATCCTAATCTTGAAGGAATGGTAGAAAATGGGGATTCAGATTTGTAATTGGCAGACCCAAAAAAAAACACAGTGGTAAAGAAAATAACAAGGAAAAACAGTCCAAGAAAGAACGTTTTTGTTATCGATTTTGTTTTCAAGAGCTGTAAAGTTTGATCTTTAAATCATCATTTCCATGTGGCTTGTCACGAAAACGCGACTGTTTAAGCAGTTTTCAAACAAACACTCGCGAGCCGAAGCAGTGTGGAAAATAGACAGTTTTATAGTCCGCTTGACCCGGGATCGTGTTTTAAGACTGTACGGCCCAGTTAAAATTTCTTCAATCACTCCGGGCGAAACATCATATCAAATTTCACGGGAAGTCTTTAAAGTATACGAGCGCCAAGAAATGGAAACTAGTGAAATTTAATACCAAAACAACTTGTTCTTTTTTCTCCGTTTGAAAAGTGGCATGTATTTGCCAGCAAAATGATAACAAATGTCAATAATGTGTTGGTTTGGAAACGCTACTCTTGAAACAAATTTTACAACGGGGTTAAGGTTCATTTTAATTTGCGTTACTGGGTGCAGAGGAATCAATAGAGAACAAATCTGAAGAGCGACAACAACTGGATTTAACACACTGACACAGCACAAAAGGACGACCACCCACTGAAAAGCGAGAGGATTTTCTGAAGAGCCCCAAAAATGGCCTTTTAAGTATAAACCGTATATAGTGATAACAAAATATTGTACAAAGTTAGGAAAGGTGAACTGTAGAAAACATAGAAAGATCCTAAGTCAAACGCCAAGAAAATGATTTGTTACTTCGTGGACATTTTCCATCCATATTTCTTTTCACTGTGTAAGATATTTATAATCCCTGGAGTCTCCATCAACAACACTACACCCAAGCTATTTCTAGCAATAGCTTTGTTAGTATTTAATATTGGCAAACTGCAGAAGACATAGACAACAGTGATTACCCATATCAGATCAAGAAATTATGATTTTCGAGTAATCGTCAAACAGTTTATTAAGTACGTTAGAGTAAAAGATGAAAGAAATACAGCAAGTGATACTTACCATGAATAAAATATCTCTCCAGCTCCGCCATGCTGAGGAAACCTCCAAGGCATCCATCTTCTAACTCCATCATTTAATGTTTCTTTTTTAGCGAATTAGTAAACGTCCGATTCAGTCGTTGGGCTAACGGCCTTCAGAATTCAGCTACGAACTTTGCTAAAATACCTTTGACAAGGCCAAGAGGAAAAAAAAATTCACTGAATTTGGAGCAGGAAAGCCAAGAGCTAAGTCAATTTCAGTCCTCACTGAAATTGGTTACAGATCACGTCGTTTGCTGCCAAATAAATCTAAGTGCAAGATCAGCTCCTTATTGCTAATTTATATCTTCGACCGGCTGGTTTGATTGACATTTTGTTTTGATATGGGATTATAATGGGCATTAGAGAAGCAGGAAGCGTATCATTTCAATGCCTCGACACGTGTCGCTTATGAAACTTTGCCAAATTTGATTAAATCATTCCTTATTCGTCCTACAGTGCTGAGAACCAATTTCAAGCCAGCTCTTTCGTTCTGCTGGAACTTCGGAATAATCTCTCAGTAATTGAAACCCTTTAAGCACGGTGTTATTTTCTTTGCTTTGAGTAAAATTGCTCCGCTCAAGCTAAATTTATTTCACCGGAAATGACAGCAGGAAAACCCAAACAAAACAGTTATACAAGCGTGACAGCTTTGACACGTTTTCAAAGGTCAATGATTTCACAGCATCACACTGATGGTCGAGTTACACCTTCGACTCTCGGAAGTTCAGTTTGTCATCGAAAGAAAAAACAAAGATCGCTGAATATTTTTTAATACAGACGGCAAAAAAACACAGTTTTTTCTCTTACAAGCTTAGCTACAATCTCTCAGTGCCACTGCAAGACAAAAAAGGCTCATCAAACAAAGTAGAATGAAGGCTTTGACGCTTCGTTTAATAGATTCACGAGTCGATAAAGTTTGACATCCTGTCTGCCCGTATATAACACACAATCGCCATATTAAATGGTAACGGAAGGGAGCGGTGACTACGACCGGAAACGCAAGCCCAGCACCAAATAAGGTCACCAGAATGAGGGGGTGAAATTTGGCATAGAAATCACACCACTCTTCTCGCAAGCATGAGCTAAATTATTAGTTATCTTCTTTTTTTCCCTGGACACATGTAGCGGCCTTAAAAGCATGGTTTCGCTTTCAGGTAACCTTTCTTCTCCAGCTCAAAACTATATATATATATA